TCGCAGGCCGGCAGTCTTTATTTTTTCGAGCGGAAAAATCGACGAGTGATTTATCCAAAGATCCCGGCCGGTCGGCCGACCGGAATTTCTAGAGCTGCAGACGTACCGTTTCGGAAAATATGATGGCGGCGGTGGGTACTCGTGAACTCGGTGCTGCGATCGCGTTTCATTCTTCCGAGAAAGAAAAAGAAACATCGGCCCGTCCGGCGTAATAACCTTTCGCGGACAACGCGATGGCTCGACGAAATGTGCGTTAACACTAATCGCACCGACCTTGACGCATTGTTGACCGATCACGAGTTAACACGTTGTATGCCGCGGGGGCCATCGGTGACTTCCAACCAAATCGAATTACTGTAATTCACTCAATCGAACGACGATTATTTAGAAATATTTCTATTTTATAAATAATGCTACCTGACGTGGTGACGTTCAGCTAGATGAATGTGAGATAATAATAACGCAATTCAATCGAATGATTTAATATTATATTTTTTCCATTCTGTGTACTTTGCTCTATGAAATCATGCGGCGTTCAGTTTTTGAAACGCACGGCAATATAAAATGTTGCAAAAGCAAAATATTCGAAGTTATATGAAACATATGTCCACAGTTTCATTTCAATTCGCTGTGTATGAACAAAGTGTATTGAAGTTTATTTAGATTGTTTCACATTTATATTTAATTACGGAATAATCACTGGTGACGTGAATAGTTTCTGCGTTGAATTACCGGTTAACAATGTGTTAACACATTGGGTACCGGCTAATTTTTAGAGAACTGAATAATGAACGCTATACATACGAGAATTCAGATATCATATTGTCATGTAATATATTTTAAATAGATAATCAATTCGAATGAAATTTAATATTTTTTTAAATACTGTAGTAATTAGCGAAGTTGCACAGCTAAGTGTCTTTACATAAAAACGAGATTTCTCGTTACCAGCACGCAATGTGTTAAGTAATGCTGTTTATATATTTTTTTTTATCGTTTGAAATGAAGACAAAGAAAATCTTTCTTTAGGGTAATTATCGCATATAGATAGATTACAGATAATAATGGAGAATATGTTTTAGATTAGAAATAGATTTATTTATCTTTATTTTGAAACAAAAAGAAACACGCACCGTACGGTTGGTGTTAAAGCTTCTTGTCGCGTAGAAGTTTTTTTCGAATGCAGTTAAAATTTAGTTAAATATATTTCGAAATGCTTAATGGGTATTATATTGGTTGTAGTCTGGGTGTAATCTGCATTCGAGGATAAGTGCCTCGTGAATGTTTTGTTTTGAATGAAATGAATTTAGTGAAATATAATATATATTTCGAAATGCTTAATGAGTATTACATTAATGTTGTGCATTAATGGAATTCTATTAGTATCATATTCACGACTAATAGGCTGTAGCAGTTTGCAGCGCTCAATAGGCAATTATTATGTTAAATGACTGACTCCTTTAAAAAACTTATTTTAAACAGAAGAGAAAGATCGAGGGTACAAGGACGCATAAAGATTAAATCAATATAGTTATTAGACCACAAATATTAATACACGTATCAGAAATTTCAAAATGTAGAGTTGCACGTAACGCGGGCAATCTAAAAAAAATATATAAAGTATCCGAACAGCAATACTTTTTATAATGTTCACCAGGAAAAGCAATTTTCTATCATAATTCTTTTCTAATTATATTCTTCAAAATGTCAATTTTCACAGGTAACCAGAGTAATAGTAGAACTAATGTAATGGGAAAAGTAACCGAACGGTTTCTTCTCTGTCGCGATGCGATTTATATAATTTTTTATTACTCCGGCGAAGTTTAACGCACATTCCGAGCACCCGACGATTTTTTAGACCGACCTGTACGCAATCCACCACGACAAAAGTTCGCGGTAGAGTTGCTTGAACCGACGAATTTAGAAATTGCACGTTCGCCAGGAATTTCTTATAGTGTTTGGCAAACAGAATCGATATCGTCGACAGAATCTCCTGCAATTTAGGGGAGTTTACTACTTCATGCTGCACGCTCTGCTATCCCTGCGCCCTCCTCATCCGTTTTACGCGTATGATGGCGTCGTTCGATTAACGGTGCTGCTCGCGCGCCGACTGTATCGCCTAAGCTTCTCGTACATTTGATTACTATAATAATTTACAAATCCTCCCTGTGGATCCGACGCCCGCGCAGAGGATCGTTTGACTCATCTAGCTTCTGTTACGAAACGCGCAACAGTCGATTTGCTCACGATGACAATTAGCTATTCACCTCGCGTCAACCGAGCGTACAGTCGACTGCAAAAGTTCGTCATCTTTATTCAATGGCCATTGTTACGATATTGGTCTCCTCTGTGAATTGATTCATACGAATGAGAACATTAACACTAAAATTACCAGACGGGTCGAAATGTTGAAACCTATTCCCGATTTCTTCGTTTTGCAATTATTAAGAAAACGGGCGTTTCTCTGAAAAATTATTAAAGAAATTATCTAGCAATACGCAAACTGAATTATAAACCAATAGATATTCAAGAGAAGTTTCAAGAAGTTAATTTAACTGCTCGGTAGCTTTAGTGTTAACGAAATTTCTTTCCTTTATTATCGTTTTCGTTATCTTCATTTTAGAAGGCAAATACATCATTATGCACTAATGTATGTATTAATTTAAAACAGTTGTCACAGGAAAATCACGGTGCATTCCACTAAAGATTCCAAAGGAAAATAAAAACTCGCAAACCATAAAATCGCACCAGTCTCGATTAACACGCTCAACCGAATTCAAACCAAACCTCTTAAACGAAGTCCCAAACCCGTTATCACGGTAGCTATCAATCTCGACGACTCAAAGGACAGACATAATGCAACAATCTCTCACTCAACTCACCCTTCACTCGAAACCAAATGAGATAACCTCCCCTACAAAAACCAACAATCACCATACACGTATCCCTCGTCATCCACGGTACCATAGTCCAGAAGCCTGAAAACTAAAAAGCAGAAATCCCCGTAAGACATCGCCAAACCCAGTGAACCGTACGTTTCCGAAGCATCAATCTATATTCCATTCTCATCGCGATCATCGAACACGTCGCGTCGTTCGTAGCCGGTGCTCGTTCCCCGTGCGATCCCTGAAACACGATCGTCAAAGTGGGACGCGGGTCTTACGAAAACAGAGAACGCCTCGCTCGCTGGTTCAGCCTCGGCTCGGCTCGCCTCGCGTCGACCGCGAATCTCAGATCTCGCGGACCGGGTCCGGGGGTTCTGTGCTTTATCGTTATAAACAAATCGTCGAGGCGTGGACTATCGTACTATGAAATACGCGAGCGGCGCACGTTAGACGGTGCCTCGCCAGAAAGCGGCGTCGGTATTTGGCAAACGATGACAACGTCGTCGACACCACCTCCGGTTTGTCTGCGGTCCCAGGTGTACCCTAGACCACCGCAGCCTCTTGCCTCTTCCTCGGTCTGGTCCTCTTACCGTCCATCTTTACTCTTCGTCTCCATCCGTCCCTCTTTCTCCTTCGCTCTGTCTCTTTCCCGCTCTTGTCTACCCCGCTACCCCTCCCCGTGTCCCTCTCATTCTCTCTTCGCGACTCGGGCTTCCCTCTTTCTCTGTCCCTCGCCGTGCGTTATTCTCACACTTTTCTGTCTATCGCACGGCTTGCTCCTCTCTTCGCGTAAGAGAGCCGCCGGCGGAGAGAAGGGGCAAAGACGCTTTTAGACACGGAGCGTCCACGAGCGTCGCGACGCCTTGAGAAGCAGTAGTCGCGTACCTTAGGCAGCTTCCACCTTGCCGGCTCGCGGCTGAACGGCAACGTGATTTTCGGGTCCGACGTGCCCCCGCGATCCTCCTCGGACACGTCGTACGTGTCCCCCTCGTGGCCAGCGTGTGCAACCACCCTCTCCCCCTATTGGACACCCGGGAACATCCGTCGGGAGGTTGTTCGTGGAACGATTGATCATCGGTGGGATAACTCGATCGTGGAACGTGGTCCCGCGACCGTGCCGGGCGGACAAGTTCTAGTTGGACGAGTTAAATTTGGGTCGAGGCTTTTGGACTCGCCTCTGGAACACCGCGCGCGCCCGCTCCTCTTCTCCTCCATTGAGAAAATTCTCGTCGGATCCTTCGGTTTCGTTTGGTCGGTGACCAAGGGACGGGAAGGCAGCCCGCTGGCGTGCTGGTGCGAGAGTAATCGTCGGGAAGAGGGAACCGCCGTGTGGTCAGCCGGATTTTCGTCCGGATCCGCGAAGTCTAAATTAATCTGGAGCCCGTTGTTGAAGTTCGGGACGCGGGCCTGGCGGCGGTGGCCGGCGTAAAAAAGAGTGTAAAGTCTCGTTCAACCCGAGGATACGAAAATAATCGTGATACGGGGAACCGGGAGTCGGATCAGTTTCGTCGGACGATTACGCGTTTCGCCGCGCCGCGATCCTCCGAGATTCTCAGGGGGCGGCCAGCGGGGTGGGGGACGAGTGGACCACTTCTTCGGTGCACGGAGAGCCCCCGAGTCACTCGTATCCCGCTGCGGAACCAACAATACATCCCTCACCCTTCCGTGACCTCGCCCAACCACCGTTCCGTTGTCCGTTGCAAAACTGGCTCCGTTCAAGACTCGGCTAGGTCGTCCGGCCGTTGATCGACAAATTCCGAGGAAGGAACTGCTCGCGGCGTTCTCCGACGACACGATAGGGACGCAGCTTGGTTTGCCTACCGTCTAACGTCACCGACGACTCGGTTCGGCCTCCTCGCCCCAGATAACACGGGAGTACAGTGTGCTAAGTGTCAGTGTCCACTGAAGCGACGCCGGGGTCTCAGTGCGCGGAGGATCGGTCCAAGGTCGCCGATCAGTGTATCACCGGTCCCCGTATTTCGGTGATGTTGTAGCTGTCCCGCGGGTGGACGACTGTCCGGGTCGTCGGTCGGGTGGTCGGTGGCTTGTGTCCGAACCTGTGGGAACGATTCCGCGAAAGTGGTTCGCGTGGCGAGGAAGGAGAAGGACGCGACGATGGCGGAGCGTCCTGGGGGTAAGAGGCGTTCGCGTCGTGACAGCGTGGACACCGGCGCCGCCGCGCGGCTCACGCCACCTGCCTCCAAGGATCGGAGGACCAAAAGATCCAGCAAACCGTCGAAGGAGCGATGGTTGCTCACTAGGAAGACATGGCGGTACATGGCGGACGCCGGCAGGCGGTTGATCCCCGACGGGACGCACAACCGGCCGGAGGACATACCGAAGATCGAGCAGTACTTCCAGGAAGTCTGCCAGAAGGAGCCGAGGTTCTTGCTATGGAGGAAGGCCTCGTACCCGGGGACACTTGGCTTTCGTGCTCAGAGGCGCAGGCGGCCGGTGAAAGGCGGTAGCTGCAGGACGAAGGCCAGTTCCGCGGATGAAGCGGATGATCTCAAGGGCGCGGGTCAAGGTTTCGTTCTGCAGACCACCACTGCTGGGAAGTTTGACTTGGCTAAGGCTAAGAGGGAGTGGTTACTAGCAACTGAAGGTGGCAGCACGCCGTCCAGCCCTGTGGCGCACAGGAAATTCCAGCAGGAGGACACGGAAGCGAAAGCGTTGGCGGACATGCTGCAGAAGTACCTGAACATGCAGAGCGACGCTGCTGCGACCAGACCCGGCAGGTCGGAGTTGCTCGGACAGGCTGACGGGAAGGAGCCTTTCGATTATCAGAATCTGATAAACAAGCTCCAGCAGCATTTAGACATGATGGTTGCTCAGGCTAAACTGGAGGAGTTGTCCGTTCGCCGGTCTTCCTCGGGTAAGATTAAGGATGCTAAAGAGAAAGATGGAGACGCGAAGATCCCAAAGTCCATGCAACCGTATCAAGGCGACTACGTGCATAAGTCTCTAATGGAGACGATCAGCCGTTACTACAGCAAGTCTGGCACCAGGGAGCACGTGATATCGAACATTTTGACGGACAGGAAGCTTCTGGAGAAACTGTACTTCGACCTTAGGTGTACCAGAGGGTTCAGGGGTCCTCGAGCTACCGGTGCTTACACGTCCCCGTCCTCGCGCTGGTGGACTCATCAACGCAGCAGAATGCCAGCGAAAGAGGAGGATTGGTTGTCCAGTTGGAGGGATCCTATCTCTCCGCCTCCTCTGATAGCTGTACAGGAGCCTAGCACTGATAGAGGCCCCGTAGAGGATGGTGTGCAGACTGATCCCGTTCCTAGGGAGGTTCTCGACGCGGTGTTGCTGGAAAGAGAGAAGGAGGAGTTACAAGAGAAAGCGATGCACAAGTCTAGCGGCAGGAGACGCAGCAGCGTTGACAACGACGATGTCTCGCCATCGGTTAGCGACACTATCAAGAGGTACCTTCGGATGGCTAGGAAGAAGTCTATGGACGCTGATAAAGTGGACAGGTTCAAACGGGTGAACTATGACAGGAATCTGAGGAATATCAAGGCCAAGGGCGAGACAACGAAACTAAGCGACGACGACGGTAACAATAAAGGGTGTCAGACCGATGACAACTGGGCGGTGAATTATAAGGAGTTGTCGTCGATGGAGAACCCTCCGGAGAATTTGTCCGACGTGGAAACGACCACCTCGCCGCCGAGTCGTAACGCGAGCTCGAGGAGCAGCATCGACGCTGGCCTCGGCCCCGAGGAACCATTGACCCCTAAACATCATCATCAGTCCTTCCTCTCCCATCTCCTTCACGGTTCCAACGCGCACAAGGATAAGCCGCACTCGGCACCCGGTTCGCCGGCACTGACCTCGTCGTCGACCAATTCCGCAGGTGGCACAGCGATGCAGAAGAGCAAATCGTCGAGCAGTGTGGTGCATCACGGCAGCCGGCTGGTACCTAAGAAGATATGGCGGTCGCGGAGCAAGAGCACGTCGAGGGCGTCCAATCAACCCTCCGTCTGGACGCCGCAAGTAAGTTCTTTTCTTACTTTACCCTTCTAACGCGTTCACGACCAGCCTCGCGTATCTGTGATCTTCAACGTTTCGTATCTTACACAATGAAAATTAACATGATGATTAAATCGTGTTTTCATGAAACATTGTTGACCGATTATTACCTTCTTTGCACTTGCATTAGCTATTTCAAATTTTGAAATGCAGGGCAATATAGGATATTCCAAAAGCAGAATATCTAAAGTTACATAAAAGATGTGACCAAAGATTAATTCTAATTCATTATGTATAAACAAAGTATATTGAAGTTTACTTAAATTGTTTCACTTTCGTATTTAATAACCGGTGATATAGTATAGCTTTTGCGTAAAATTGCCGGTCAACAACGTGTTAAGTTACTTTGACATATCTTTTTATGTAAAATCGTAGTGCATGGAGTAACGTGTACGAAGATGAGAGTTTTATCTTGAATTTGACTTGCATTTTATACAGACCACTTGTTCATTTAATAAAATATTGTAACTGCTAAATAAACGTTGGTCGTGGACGTGTTAAGCCGCGGATACACAAGCAAGAAACTTGCGACATCCTTTTCTGATAGTGATTCTTTTGACTGTACAAGTTCAATTCATTTAGGATATTAATAAAATAAAACGATATGAAACAGAAGTGTAAACATGTTTGCAAGTCGCTATCGGGAAAAATGTCGCATGCTATTTGCTAGTGTATCTGCAGCTTTACCGCTTTGTTCTCGCCTCTGGTTTTTGCTTCCGCTTTTTCACTGTCTCGACTTTCGAGCATTGACGTGTTTAACACTTTGCGTACGAGGATTTTTGGAAATATTAACGTTATTTTTACTTCTTCCCTCGCAGGGAGAAAATAGATTTAAGAAAGGAGTTCGAAAGTTTCTATTCTTTCACAGATATATTTAAATTTGAGGATAGAGGGAAACTGTTAATAGTGTACATATCTTTGATGTTTCAATAACACCTCCATTACGTAGGTGAACTGAGAAATGTACACTGTGTCGGATTTTATTCAGCAGATAAAACTATGACGGAGAAAGTCGACTGTAAAGAACTGTGAGAAGTAAGAAAATTTTGCAGGGATTCAACGAAATTTGTTTACGTCGCGTCCAAGTAATATATTTCAAGAGATTTAAAAATTCTATTGTGTTCCCGAACTTCAAAGAGAAGAATCCTGCGTTTACATAATGTCAGCATACTGTATGTGTGAACGTAATAGAAAAAAACTATTTATTATAAAATTGGAAGAAACATTTGGTATGCAAGTGTATTTTATCACGTAGTCGATAGTAATAAACATTGTACTGTCTTTTTACGAGGAAATATACACGAGGTATTCACTCTTGAAGAAGCGAGACAGAAACAGTGGAAACCGATTCATAAAATACTGTAATTTTAAAATAAGCTCATCAAATCTGCGGTTTAGATGCTACTGGAACAACAGAAACGAGAAAAAGAATAATTGTTAGATGTTGCATTATTGATGACGTAGTCCTCTACAGTTTGTATTATAATCGGTGATACAAATCGATGGATGGCGGTTCCACATAATAAACAGAAGTTGAAACTGTCTAATAAAATTTGTTTATGCCGCGAGTTGTCTGAAAGACAGAAAAGTCTGTGAAACTCATTTTATTTTCAAAGAAAGTTTCCGTTGTGTTCTTTTTTCTCGCGTTGTCTCAAATTGTTAATACATTTCTTACACGAATAATAAAGTCATAAAAAGATTCCATACATTTCTGGATTTATTTAACGGTACATAATAAATATTTTGCATTTTTATTTTAGAGTATCAGTTATTGATAAATGATTTATTCATCCAGGTAACATATTCGTACTAATTAATTTGTGATAATTAAAATTAAATAATTGAGAGGGAAATGTATTTGTCCCTTCCTCGATTTCTACGCTCATAATGTCACATTATTATCTTATCCTTGTTATTGTTCAATAACAAAACGTTTGCTTTTATTCAATACGTTCTTGTTGGAAGACGAAATATTGTCTTTGAATATTTAAGATAGGTTTCGGGTAACGAGATACCGCGTTACTGCATATTTCAAACGTCCAGGAATATAATGGTCCGTTTGTAAACCATGGAAAACGATTTTCATTTAAACACTGCACAATCGTGCGTATCTCTCAATTTTCCTCGTCTTATATTACTTTCCTAATTACTTTATTAATTCCACTATATGAAACTCACAATTAGACAACATTATTACCGTAATTAGCTCACGCCACGTATAGATCAACGATCGTGTCAATTGTCACATAAGATTACAGTTTCATTCTCAGTTTTTAATTCCTCACCTTTCTGTTTATAAGATTTCTTAACTCTGAAGTTAATTGGTTAATTTGTAACGAACACTAGAGTATCAAATAGTCCCCAAATGGCAACGCCTGAGCCATTTCAACCCACCTATTCAAGTGCTTCACCTGACTTCTCGGTATCTGACATTGAAAAGGAGGTTAATGATTTTCCTTTTAATAGTAACTTTAAAAGACATTGTTACGTGAAATTGGCACTCGACGTGTTAGTGATTCACTTTAATAAATTACCTTTTCTCTAATATAAGTCAAACCTTTAATGGCCCGATAACAGGTACAATTTACCGACCACTCAGAAGTTAAACAAAAACATGGATTAAAATTAAAAAAAAAAGGGAAACTAAACACCGTTATTAAACAATCACCGAGAATAGTACACTTTCTATAATCACTCCTATATATCTAAGAACCATTGACAAGTGAGGATTAGAATGAATTTGGTTGTTGATTCTATCAAGTCGTCGGGAACGTTCGTCACTCGGGGATCACTGCGAAGACATTTGGCGTTATCGGGACACAGGAAACAGTTGTTACGTCGTTTCCTTTATTTTGTTTGTTTTAAACGAAATTTTATTTACGGTCCGTAAACGAAACAAGAACGAACCGCGTGCGCTATACATAGAGTTCCCTCTTGCCAAAACACGTCTACGAATAAGTTGCTTGAACCACCTGTCGCCGCATAGCCGGGAGTGTCTGCCTCGTTATGAGAAAGAAAACGAATTAATGATGTCGCTATTAAGGTCCATCGCGAAAATAGAGTGCCGCTATTAATAACGACGCTAATCCGGCCGTTTTCTTAATAATAACACGCGGATTAATATTTCCCGTTACCATTGTGCGGGGCCATTTCACCGAACAAGAAAAGGGCGTTACAGCGACGGAGCGTCTGTGCGAAGTAGGCTCGCCAGTTTTCCAAAATGAAAGAGAAGGAGATTGTTATTGACATCTTTAAGCCTGTGCATTACAAACGTTTATCACTGAAAATAACTAAGAAGGAAGTGTATATTATTTTGAATAAAAGTAAATACTAAAATAGACAACTAAAATGCATATTTAGAACTTGTGGTTTTTTAATTTATATTCGGTGACTGATACCGGTATTAATATATTTTTACGTACGAAGAAGTAAGCAACGCGAAGTTACATTAGCGCCGAGAGTAATAAATTAATTGAGAAAAGAATATGTTCTAAGTGATCAGTAGATTCTTGGAACAAATTGATACATTAAACAAAATAGAAAGAATAGTTCAGTGCAAATATAATGGATAGTACACGTTACATTTATTTTTTAACATTTCAACTGAAGTTGACTGTTCTCTGTAATTAAATATCAACTGACAGCTTCTTCGTATGCGAAGTACTGACTGTCAGTATTAGCACAGTATCAGAGAACGTAAAAAAACAACAAATAGACATATATTGGCGGCGACCTTGAAATCGAAGTCAGGTTGTTTCTTTCATCTTTTTTTTTAGAAAATTGTTCAAAGTGTATCTCCTATCTTGAGATTTTCGAAACGTTTTCACGATGAAGTAATTCCGTTCAAGGACATATTTCCCGAGGTTTCAAGGTCAACGTGACGTTCCGAACGGAACGATATATTTTTGTTGCCGTATTGTTATGGCTAGCAAAAAGTAAGTTCATTCACGAATAACGTATTATATTTCATATAATTTTCATACTGTTCCTAATCTACCAAAAGTACTGATACGAAATGATATTTTGTTTCATTAAACATTTTCTAAACTCATTGCACTGAAAAGTGGCCATGAAAGATGACCTTGAAATTATGGAACACATGTTCCACAGAAATATTTGTTCATAACCAAAAATAGGTATTCTCTTTTTTTAAGAAACAATTATGCATTACAATTTAGTCTTGTCATCAGAAGCAATAAAAATATTTCAAAATCTGGAACGATATACTCGGTACATTAGAAACAGCCGAAGTTGAAAGCCATTAAATCTAATCTTTCTTATGGAATTTTGATTGTCATATACTTAACTCCTGTTTATTTACTGTCACAGCAGTCTTGCATAATATCAAGTCCAATGAGCAACTAATCAATTTCAAAACATATTATCCTTCCTAATTTTACGCGCATATTAACAAAAAATCGAAACACACACGCGTCATCACAACATTCTTTCAATACAGAAAATTCCCGTAAATGTTCGACACATATCAGCTTTTAACGCATTGTACGCCGGCTAAATTTCAGCTACTAGAAACGCGAGCATCGGTGATTATATTAATATATTTTTAAACATCAATCAAACCGAAATTTGTAACTTACAGAGAAGAATAAGGAAATGAATTTTGTAATTTCATTTTGGATTTGTGTTATACATATCTAAAATGTTACATTAATGTACACAGATGTTTCTCTGAGAAATTATTAATGAAATTAGTAAAATAGCTTTGTTCCTCAAGCTACGTATGATTTCTCTTCCAGTTAGTTTCACAAAATATCGTCTTTATCTCACCAGAAAATGTTCAAATACTTTTAGTGAAAAACTTCCGAGTGCAAAGGATCTTGGTTAGGTCTTGGTTAATTCTTGGTTAGATCTTGGTTAGGTCGGTTAGGCTAATTTTACGCGTATATTTACAAAAAACCGAAACAACACATATTGAAATAAAATAGCTTCGTTCCTCAAGCTAC